GCACATTTATTTTATATCCTGATACTTTGCCAAAGTCCTTTATCAGTGTAAGGAGGTTTTTGGCAGATTCTCTTGGGTTTTCAAGGTACACAATCATGTCATCTGCAAAGAGAGATAGCTTGATTTCCTCTTTTCCTATTTGGATACCCCTGATTGCCTTCTCTTATCTGATTGCTCTAGCCAGGACTTCCAATACTGTATTGAACAGGAGGAATGAGAGTGGGCATCCTTGTCTTGTTCCAGGTTTCAGGGAAAATGGTTCCAGTTTTTGTCCATTTAGGAGTATGCTGACCGTGGGTTTCTGATAGATGGCTTTTACTACTTTAAGGTATGTTCCCCGTATGCCTAGATATTCGAGAGTTTTTATCAGGAAGGGGTGCTGGATTTTATCAAAAGCTTTTTCTGCATCTAATGATATAATCATGTGATTTTTGTTTTGACATCTGTTGATGTATTTAATTACATTTATGGTTTTACGAATGTTGAACCAGCCTTGCATCCCAGGTATGAAGCCTATTTGGTCATGATGGATGATTTTTGAGATGTGTTGTTGAATTTGGTTCGCTAGGATCTTGTTGAGAATTTTAGCATCTATGATCATCAAAGATATTGGCCTGTAGTTCTCTTTCTTTGTTGGGTCTTTACCTGGCTTGGGTATCAATGTGATGTTAGCTTTGTAAAATGATTTGGGGAGAGTTCCATCTTTCTCAGTCGCCTGAAATACCTTCAGTGGGATTGGAATCAGTTCTTCCTTAAATGTCTTGTAGAATTCTGCTGGAAAGCCATCTGGTCCAGGGCTTTTTTTTGTAGGTAGTTTTCTTATTACGTAGTCAATTTCCTTGATTGCTATTGGTCTATTTAGGGTCTCAATGTCTTCTTGTTTCAACCTAGGCAGGTTGTGTGATGACAGAAAGTCCTCCATTTCCTTGAGGTTTTCAAGTTTGTTTCCATACAAGTGTACATAGTAGTCTCTAATGATCTTTTGTATTTCTTCAGGATCAGATATGACTTCATCTTTTGTGTTTCTGATTGTGTTTATTTGGGCTTTTTCTCTCTTTTTTAAAGCAAGATAGTATTCATATATGTTAATATGTAATATTTATATATGTAATACCTCTTGAGAATCATCTCAAAATGGAAACTCACATGATGTCTATAATATTTTATATTTCTTAGAGCCTCCAATATTTTTTTGAGACAACTAATAAAATTTGTAGGTGGTTCATAAATTGTATGATAATATGGCATCAATGTTAAATCTCTCATTTCAAAAATTGTACTCTGTTTATATAAATGTTCTTGTTCTTAGGAAATGCTCACTGAAATATTTGGGAGTGAAGGGAACTGATATCTAGAAATGAGTTTAAAATAGCAGAGAGAGAAAGAGAGGGAGGGAAGTAAATAGATATAAAGAGAAAGAAAAAAATGACAATTCAAATGGGACAAAATATAAACAGTTGGTAAGTCTGGGAGTTCTTTATCCTACTTTGCAGTCTTTCTGTAGCTTTGAAATTATGTTAAAATTATCAGTTGCTAGAAAAAAATTTCAATGTATAACCATGTAACATGATAAAAATTATCAGCAAGGTAATAGTAAGTATTAAGACTTACTGCCATTTTCAAATAATTGGGGAATGTTGACAACTTTGCATTATCTTCCCTGTAACATGAATACAGAATTGAACTTGCTGTTTCCCATGTCTGCACTTAAAGGAGGTTTATTATGCCTTCGGTGGAATAGTTTTGTCCACACTTAATGTATCCATCAAGTACTGTAATGAAAATGAAATGCTAACCAAAAAGCCTTTGAAAGCTAAGCTAAAATAAGACATGATTGCTTTTGCTATCTTAACACAAGCACAAAACTCTTTAATTGAAGATAGTTAAATTTGCAATGAAGTGTTTTTTTTTCTTTCTTTCTTATATTTTCAGAATGGCTTCCCTTCTGAGCAAATTTAGGGTAAAATTTGCAGATATCCATATCATTGGTGACATCAACGTTAAGCCAAACAAAGAGAGGTATGAAACAATTAACAAGATCCATTGATTATCCATGATACTCTCTCATTCTCTTTTGTGTTGATTATCAAAGGGTAAAAATGTTATCTATTTACTGCAGTGATTTCTTGATAAGATATAAGAAGGGCCTTCAAATAATTTTGACATAGAGTTATCAAGTACATTCTAAAGGGAAGAAAAGTTTTATGGTAAAGATGTTCCTGAGAGGGAGAATTGTTGAAAATAAGTTAGTTAACATTTCAGAATTTTCCCTTACTGTTTTTAGTATCTGTGATGGCAAGAGCAGTAGGAAGCCCTAGGTCAGACTGTTCTGATCTGAGCAGTCAGGGTAGGTTTTGTTATCAGAATTACTGGTAGGGCTTCATGTTTGGGGAGCTCTGATGGAGAGGATGTGAAAACAGCTCATGTCTTCTTGGTATAACGACAGTACTGACACTCCAGGGTCATGTTAGCTTTTAGGCACTCAGGGTCCAACACTTAAGGCCAATGAACTTTGGGGGGACCTCTAAAACTATCTGAAGTCTGGAAAAGAATGTATGTATTGGTTCCAAATTTTTCAAAAGGATAAAATCAAAATAATCATTTAAATATTTCTAAAACTGACATTATTTTAATCCTCACTCATTCTTAAATTTATCAACTCCATTATTGTCTTAGCTCAGACTGCTACAGCAAAATACTATAGACTTACACAGCAGTGTTAGCTTACTCAACAGACATTTATTTCTCACAGTTCTTGAGGCTGGGGAGTCCAATATCAAGATGCTGGCTGATTCAGTTCCTGTTGAAGGTCCTCTTCCTGGCTTGCAGATGGCTGCCTCCTTGCTGTGCTATTTCTCTCCTCCCATGGTGCAGAGAAAAATCTGATCTCTCTTTCTCCTCTTATAAGGACATTAATCTCATAACGGGGGCATCTCATCCTCATGACCTCATCTAGATTTAATTATCTCCCAAAGACCTCACCTCCAAATGCCAACATATTGGAGGATAGGGCTTCATCATAAGAATGGGCAGAGGGTTGGGAGGCAAAAACATTTGCTATTTGAAAACAATTTGTAGGCTAGATCTTCACAGGAGTTCACAAGAGTGCAAAAAGATTGTCTAGAAATTATAGCCAATTGTAAAGTAAATGATCTACTCAGTTACTATTTAACAATTAAAAATACCTCGATTGTTTATAGTTCACTGTCATATTTACTGTTGCATTCAGATGCAATTTGATATATCTGATTCCATGTGGAATAGGGCCTCCAAGGGCAATTGTACAGAGGGACATTAAGGTCTCAGAATGGCTTAGGTCCTCACTGCCCTGTTGGGTGGCTTCCCTTTTCTGTTGACCATCATTTCTCCTTCTTTCTGAAATAATGGGTTGTAATTCCACATTCATCAAGTTTTCTTACCTCCTCCCTGCTTTTGATTTATTGTTATTCTAGATAAGCTTAATAACTAACTGAAAATTATTCAGATTTAAGAAGCATTTTTTATTGGCCATAAAGCCTTGAACTTTATATTCTTTGAGGGTATTCATGATTCCACCAAAGGCTGTAGGTCAGTCAAAATGACTTTTTCAAAACACTTTAATTGTGGTAAGAAAGCTATAATAAACAGAGTTAAGCTGGTTATTACTTTATAATATTTCCTCACATCATATATACCTCAAATATCTTACATTCTTGTATTTCTATATTATAAATACTTAAGAAAATTAAAAGCACATTATAAGTATCTTTGGTAAATGGAATTAATATTTTAATATGAATTGGGTTGCCATACAGTAACCTCTGTTAGCCTTCCACTTTTTTTTTTTCTTTTTGAGTCAGAATCTTACTTTGTCGCCCAGGCTGGAGGGCAGTGGCTCACTTACAGCCACCGTAGCCTCCACCTGCTGGGCTCAGGGAATCCTTCCATCTCAGTCTTCCTAGTAGCTCGAACTATAGGCGTGTGCCAACACACACAGCTAATTTTTTATTTATTGTAGAGACAAGCACTCACCAAGTTGCCCAGGCTGATCTTGAACCCCTGAGCTCAGGCAATCCTCTTGCTTCCGCCTCCTAAAGTGCTGGGATGACAGAGGTGAGCCACCATGCCCAGCTTAGTCTTCCACTTTTTCTTGAACAATTTTAATTCTCTAAGTTGTTGCCTTTTGACATTTGCAATGATGTGAAAACAGGTTCATCTTAGAACTGTAAATGGTAGAAATGCATCCTCTTTCAGAACACAGCACATCCAATAATTCCTTAGCAAGTGCCACTTGGCAACAGGGCAGAGCCTGCCAGTGCACTGCAAGATAGAGTCATTTTTTCTATTGTCTAGAGGGTAGTAACTGTGTCTCCTACAGTTTGGATTTTCTATAAACTCTGGCTTAATGCTGGACATGAATTAGTTACCGACATCTTAAAGCTAAATTCTTCTTGCGGTTGTTGGTCTTATCCATAGCTAAGAACTGTGTTGGCCAATTAATTTGTTCCTATATTCTTTTTACTCATCAATCTGGCGTTCTCTACACAAGTCCTTGTTTCCTTCCCCTTGTTCCATACGAGTCTGTGTTCAACTGCCATGGCCACCACCCTGCATACACATCCTTTCTGTCCTATCACTGCAGATGTGGATGAACCTCTTCTGTTAACCAAGCCTCCTCATTCTGAGTATGTCATAGTCTGGATACTTTTCATCTTACTACTCTGATCTTTGTCCCATGTTGTCCTCTTTCCAAGGAATAAAACTCTATGGGCAGCAGTAAAAAATGAAGTACTAGGGCGTTTTTACTTTTGTGCGAGTATCTAAATTTGATTTTAGACACCATTTTAATTTGGTGTTTCTCACACGTTCCCATCATCCTGCAATTAAGATAATTACTTTTCTTCCTCGGGAAATAAGTAAATTAGTTTTAAAAATTTGGGATATGCTCCCTCTGCTATTTCAAGGTCTTGTGGAAGCTAAATGAGAAAAATAATCCATTCTTACTGAAATAAAGGAATCCTTGTGGCCAGTATATTCTAGTGAAAGGACAAAAGCCTACCAGAAGGGATGTCTTGCGAGTGCCATCCTCCTTTCGTCACCCTTCTGCCATGATGGATGCCATATTGCTTTATAAAACAGTGACATATCTGATGTTGGCAGTGACTATTCCAATATATGAAAGTAACCCTATTTTAGAACAAAGAATAGTTGTTCAGTAAGTCTCACAGACAGCTGCAGGTAGCACATCTGGCATATTTGTAATACCTTAAATAAGGCAACTCTTGTGTGTGGTCCAATTAGAGAAAGAAAACTGTTCCTGTGGGCTGATGCAGCCTGGACCCAGGGGTAAAGCTTAGAAAGTAAAATACTGGCTCAATTTCAGCTCCCACATGGGTCTTCTTGGCCAGGCAGCCCTTATCTGCCATTAACAACTATTTCTTGGTCACTATTCTTCCTTGGTCACCAGGTGATTCACAATGTCAAAAATAGTTTGTCAGTGATTTCCATGGTGGAGCCTAATGTCAAGTGCCCTTAAATCGCCTTTAATAAATCTTTCAACTACCCATAAAACATCAGTGAGTCTTAACAGAGGCATTTTATCATAGAAACATAATCTATAAATATGGTAGGGCAAAGGTGAAAGGGAGTACAAAGCAGAGTTAATGAGAAAATAATTGAGCCAGGAGAAACGGAAAAGCTCTTATGTTAAATTATGTTTTTTATGGTATAGACTGAATTAAAAGTCATAGGACAAAAAGACAACAATCTATACAGAAATCAAAGAGAAACTAGAAGCAATTAACTAGATAATTTAGTTTAAAGATGCCAAAGTAGTCACAAAAACAATTGGTACATTACTTTGAGGGAAAAAATCTTATGTGAACTTGAGGGAAACGTTTATGCAATTTTAAAATGTTTAAACTTGGTAATGTGGAACAAGGATGGGGAAAACTGGAAAGTTATTAGTTAATTTAAAAATTGAATTAATTCTTATTTATATTTAATAGCAGGCATACTATTGTCTTATTCTAGAGTCAATTATACAGTACTTATAAGAAAAACCAGATTTAATGAGAATCAAAATAGAAGTCTTGAGCTACCTTAGGATCACCTAGCTGGGAGAATGGAAAATGACTAGCTCAGTGATAAGCCCTAGATTGAACAAATCACAATGAGCGTAGAAAAGGAACAATAAGAGGTAAAAGAAAAAGAATGGTCAAATTGAGTCTCATTATCATTTGCTGTATTATTTAGCATGTTTCTATTGCAAATAAAATAAAACCTAACTCATAGTGATTTCAATGATGGAAATTATTGTCATGCATAACTAAAATATACAAGTTAAGTTTGGCTTTCAGGCTAAGCTTGATCTAGAAGGTTAATTTTGTAATCAAGGTCTAATTCTCTTTCAATCCCCCTACTTTACTTTCCATTATGAAATCATCAATCAAAGTTGATTTAGCTTATAAAAAACAAGATGACTGCCAGTAGCAACCAGGACTACATACTGAACATACTCATATGTTCAGTAGAAGAGAAAGTTTATCTCTTTCCCTGTTGTTGAACTCAGGTCCAGAGCTCCATTCAGGTTTCACTAATTTAAGCCCCTGAGCCATTCACTATGGCCAGCATAACACTGGGTACTTCTTGGTTCAAGCCTGCCCTAGTGATTTGCCCACTTCGCCCATCACTCTGGCAGAAGGCATAGGATTATGCTGATTGGCTGATGTTGGGAATGAAGTAATTCTCACCCACACTACAAGGGGAAAGCATAGTATGAAAGCTAGGGACACAACCAGCCTCCTCCACTCGATCTATTTCTTAGGAAACTATTTTTGTACTGTATTTTCTAACAAGGATCTGGGCTGAGATGCAAAATAATCCTCTCATCCCGATCAAAATAAGTATACGAAGGAAAAGCTTACACAGAGAACCTCTCAACCGCTAACTTCAATCCTGTGGCTGTTACAGTAAGTGATTGCCGTGCTTCCACAAAGCACTGCATACTTTTCAGAGCCCTGTCACTCAGAGCATCATGCTGATTGGCTGATTTTGGGAATGAAGTCATTCTCACCCACACTACAAGGGGAAAGCATAGTATGGAAGCTGGGGGCACAACCAGCCACCTCCACCTCCTAGCAGCCATTGTTACTCCCCTTTTATAATCTGGGTTATCCAGGCCAAGGAGGACAACGCAAGAGCTGGGAGAAGAACCCTGGCTCTTCTCTCTGAAGTCAGTAACATTCTGTCACGCTGACCACTGCCAAAGGTCTCTCAAGGCATGACATTGATGGAAGTGATAGCAAATAAAAGTACTGTGTAGTTGAAAGAATGATAGGGCATACGAGTCATATTCTTTCTCAGTCTTCCTCTACCTTTCTAAATAAGCCAGTGCAATAGAAGCCTACTGTATTAAGTGTCTCTTCACTTACTTAACAAAGGCTCCCTGATAGGGACAATCCTACTCTTTGTAATCTCAGCACTTTTATCTGTAAATCCTAAATCAGGCCGACTGATGAGGTAACTGAAGATATTTTTCATCTCTTAACCTAACAGCATATCAATTCTAATTATCACTCATTCTGGTTACTAAATTATAAGTAAACTACTTTATATAAAACCAAAGAAAATTGTTCATAATTGTGATTTTATAGTATCCTACTGAAGACAACTGCTGCCATACATTATAAGCTTTACCTCGTGCTGTTTTTAAAAAAAATGAGATTCTCATTTATGACAAGAATGAGATATTTAAGCACTTTTTAAAATGTTCTTAGATACAACTGCTGGTTTTTCTCTTCAATAATTTCTTTTTAAATGCTCTAACATGGCCCCATATTTTGGGGCATTAAAACATTATTGATTTTTGTTCTTTCCCCTACCGTGCACCTGAATAATACATATTTGAAAATCACAGCCAGCAACATCAAACACCAAAAGGACAAGGGCAGCAGCATTTGTAGCAAACATCCAAATTGTTCTATAAACATTAAACTTGTGGGAGTCCTTGCGATTCCCCTCCTGTCTACCCACAGTCTCCTGCCGTGAGTGGGAGCTGCCATGTGGACTAAAGGTGAGGGTGGCCCTATCCAACTCCCAATGATCCTAGTTTGACTCCTATGCTAATTGAAGAATGTCTCCCAGAGTATCTGTACAGTAAGCAGTTGGAAACTCATTTATGGGCTAAAGTGTCTATGTTACAACTGTGTCTTTGACTACACCATGCAGAAAATGTGTTTACAGAATGATTACTATCTATATATTTGTGTGCTAATATTGAAGATCCAATACCTAGTGGCTAACAAGGCCTCAAACACATTAAGGCATTTTCTTGAGTAGGGAGGCAATACTGTAACCATGGTTTTACTCACAGTAAATTCTCTGCAAAGACATTTCTTAAAAGATTAGCATGACATTCAGCTCTGATTCCACAGCCAGCAGAGCCAGTCATACCTGGAGTATCTGTGAAATAATGAGTTAGTTTCCCACTGTGAGGCCTCCTTTATAATTCAAATTTTAGCTGGAAAGTCTTTGAAGAGATGATTGAACCATATCGTCTCCATGAAAGCTGCAAAGATTTAACAACTGCTGAGAAATTAAAAAGAGAAACTCCGTGGAAAATTACAGATGCAGAACTGGAAGCAGTCAAGGAAAAGGTAAGGACTTGTCTTCCTTAATTTTTACTTTACTGTCTAACTAGCTGAAAAAGGAAACAGTAGTTGATCTAAGGATCAAGAAGCAATGATTTTATTATCAAATTTCATTATTCAAAATTCAGGGTTTCCAAGTGCTTTTCAATCATTTACTGACTATAAGGATTTAGAAAACTGTTTTCATTTTTTTCTACAAAGTCAATTATTTCTTAAAAGTTTAAAAAACAGGTCATTGGTATATATTGTGAAATCTCCATTCAAATTTAATTTTAAAGAACAGGAAACAGACCCATCAGTCTAAAATAATTTTAGTCAATATGTATGCAAGGTAGACAAAGGTAGCTTGATCACAATTTAACACAATAACAAGGAATTTTAATGTGAAAAATGGTTATGAGAAACTAACAAAGTTATCTGAGAGAATACATAATGCAATTAAAACAAAGACTATGAAAGTTGGATTCAGTACCCATCGTGAGATGGATGTAAAATGGCGAACTTTTCTAGAAAACCCAGTATAATGGAAGTCACATTCTGTCCTGAAGTCTGTGATGGTGAGGATGTTGCAAAGGGCAGAGGCCTCAAGAATTAGGTAGAAGAACTGACATCTGAATTGAACATTAAAGAAAAGGAACTACTAGAATTTCTAAAATACAAAATCTAAATAAACTATATTAGGAGCTGAGTTTGAAAATTTTAGAGCAAGAAATACTAAAAGTCCCTTAGATTTATTGAAAAAAAAATACTGAATTAGAATCCTAAACACTGTGTAATAAACTGCCCAGATCTAACAAAGACATAGCATATACTTGAGCAAATCACACCTCTGAACCCTGGTTTATTGGTTTCTGAACCAGTGAATTATAACAATAAATATTATTCTCATCACTGCAAAATAATGTTTTCCAAGTGAGTCTTTTGGTGGCTTTTAAGTAAAACCAGTATTCTGTGCTTATAAAATATTCAGACAGCTTAAAGAAAGGTAGACTAGGATATAATCTATGTTATTAGGATATCAAGTTAGTATCAATATATCTATTGGTTTTTTTTTTTTAACCAAAAACCCATTGCCCAAAACTAGCCTTCTCATCTTTTTACTGTTATTCCTGTTGTTTGCTTTTTTCCTCCTAGAATTAAAAAAGTCACTATAACACACAACAATCTGGTCATATTCTTTATATTTCTAAAATTTTTCATGACGTTTTAAAACACTGTAAGTTTCCAAGATTAAAAAGAAATGAGGTGTTCTGTTTGCCCATGATTTGAGGTAAGAAGATAAATTCTCATTCATAGTTCTGGTAGAACTGTACTCAACAATATCTAAATGTTATCCATAGAGTTACCGTCAAGTTCGACTGAATGAACTCTTACAGGAGCACTCAAGAGCTGCTAATCTCATTGTCCTGTAAGTATCATTGCAGGTATTTAAGAATGCTAGAAAGAATTCTTAGGGTAAATGGGTTAATCAATTTGAAAGCTCATGACGTTTCAGGTGGAAAATTATTTTTAAAATTTGAAATACATGGAATTTTAGACAGTGAAGGAAGCTACGTACTACTCTGAGAACCTCACCATTGGGGCCCATGAGTGTTACAGGACCTCGCTTGTACTTATTGCCAGTTATATAGTATCCACTCATGGGGCCAGGGGTACATGCCCACTTGGAACCCAGATTCCATTCTAGACCATGCTCCAGGAATCGGAGACACCAGAATTCCCTGCCTAACAGCACGAAGTCAGCCAGCAAGGTTCACTGGCATCTCCCTGGGCAGGTGTTCCTGAGCTGCCATGTTCATGACAGGTTCAGGGGACTCCTACCAGTGTGGGAAGAGGCCAGAATGGGAGAAAAAGGATGGTGGTCATCTCCGTTTTTACTCTTTACCCTTCGGCCCTATAAATGTTAGGGGTGTGTCTACTAAAAATATCATTTTCTTAAAGATTGGTGGATACAGGTTCTGACAATTAAGTTCATGAACTCATCCTAGAAAAATGCTACATACCTCACTGTTGAATACCACTATGGTCACCTTCGAAGTACTCCCCTTAGGAAGATATGCACCAATGCCAGCACCTAGTCCACCTGTCAAAGCAATTTTAGAACTCTTTCTGAAATGGCCATCAGAGCTGTTGTCGTATTGCCCTTGATACCCTGAATGTCATGAAAACGTCTTCCTTTCAATATTTCCTTTAGCTTCAGGTAAAGAAAAAAGTTATTGGGGGCCAGATCAGGTGAGTAGGAAGGGTGTTCCAATATAGTTATTTGCTTGCTAGCTAAAAACTCCCTCACAAAAAGTGCTGTGCTAGCTGGTGCATTGTCCTGATACAAGAGCTCCTTCGGACCTTTTACACACATCTTTCTCAAGCCAAGATTTTCAGTTAAGATTTTTCTGTTTCCCTATCGATGTGTATTTGGTTTGCTATGCTTCTCACAGTCAGTTGACAATCTTGACACACAAGTAGATGAATTTCTGCAATGTTTTCATCAGTTCTGCTCACTACTGGCCATCCTGACCTCTCTTCATCAGTGACCCTTTCTCTCCCCTCAGAAAAACGTTTAATTCATTTGTACACTGCCGTGTTCTTCATAGCATTATCCCCAAAACTTGGACTAACATATCCCTGATTTCACTTCCACTCTTGCCAAGTTTAACAAGAAATTTAATGTTTGTGCGTTGCTTTAATTCAAGCTCCAACATTCTTGCAACAACACACAAAACATGCAACAATAATGAATGCACTCAGCATGACACCACCACGTGTCAACACAAACACAGCTGTGAGACACTGATATTGCCAAAGTTATAAAACTTTACTGAGTTGTTGGACAGTGCTGCCAACATAAGTGCACAGTGGCAAGTTCACAAATTTAATTGTCAAACCTCATAAACATGAAAACCTCCAACTACTTTACATTTATATCTCATGAATTGGCTCCTATATATGAAAATAAATGTTTCCAAAGATGGTCGAGACTGGCCAAAGATATTGTAGAATGGTCTCCTCAGTTGGGTGCTAGGGTTCCAAATAGCTGGTTTCTGAGGTTTTCTCCAAAATAAGAGGTTTAAATTATTGAGAAAAAATCATTTACACAAAAGGGAGGGTATTAGTTGATCAAATTCTCTATTTAAAGAAAAGTAAAAATTGATATTTTTGTTTTGCCTTTACAATGCCTAAGCCTATTTTTTTTGGTTTCTAGATATTTGTATTATCTGAGAAATACATTGGCTTAATATCTACAGTCAAAATAATTTTGCTGCTTTCATTTAGAGGGGATAGTAGAAGTTTCAGTCCACTGGTTATTAAATAGTCCAGAAATGCTAGTGATGTTACTACCTGTAGTAATTTTCGTTTTTTGTTTTTTTTTTTTCATGCCATCAGGAGCCTTCCAGTGGCAAGAAAAGGATCTATATCAGATTTGTTGTATATGACGTGGTTGGAAATCCTCACAAAGAACCTTCCTCCTGTCTTACTAGTTAGAGGAAATCACAAAAATGTCTTGACATTTTACTCTTAAAACATGAAAGATTAGAATGCATCTTTAACTTAATGTATGAATAATTAAGAAACATGTTCCAGTACCTTATGTTGTAAATCTGATCTATGGATATGCAAACCCCTGGAGACTATCCTACCAGATTCTACATAAATTTTGTCATTTTTTTTATTTTTAGTTAATGGGAGTTTTTTTATTTTTCCTGTCAGCTTAGGGGGGTGTCAAAACCAGTGCTGTCCCTAGAAAAAACATTTTTGTTATAGCTGTTGATAAACAAAAAAATTAAGCAAACTCATGTTGGCTTATGATCATAAAAACCACCAATTTGATTGTAAACTTCCCCGGGAAAACATAAGCTTTTGTTTCTAGGGTGTTTGCTTCTCTGTCCTGGTATAGGCCTCAACCCCACAGCAGGTTCTTAATAAATGCTTACTGACAGGCTGGTATAGTAACCATGGGTGGTTATCAAAGGAAAGGACCAACAGCGTAGGGAACATGATTATGCTTGCCCTTCCGAGAGGCTTATGCCTACAAAGAAGATTTAAAAGTCAATAACTGAAAACTTTAAGAAGTACTTGAGTCTACAAAATGTTTAAAGTAGTTACCTAAATAAGGTTATTTTATGTAACAGATTATATACTTAGAGTGATCTGAGCGATCTTTGATAACATACGGTTTGAATTTGCTGCTGACTGAAAAGTATATTAACTAGATTAGAAGACAGCATATATTCCAATTAAACAAAATAGATTCTATTCTTAACATATCAGCTTTAGTTGCATTCCTTACTAAATATTCTGAAATTTCTATTTCAGTGTTACCTTGCATATATTTTTCTAATTAAGTGGTTAGCACAGATGAAACCTTTATAGATGACTAATTGAAACCAAGTACCACAAATTCTCAAACCATGATTAAGAAATATATCCTGAATCATATTTAGTTACTTTCGATAGTGATTGTGTGGATTTAAAAGAATAATTAAAATGTGAAATGGAAAAACTTGCAAAATTTCGAATATACAGGTATTGATTTTTTCATTTTTGTTAGTATACCTATAATACTTAATCACATTGACAAACCAACAAAAAATTGTTTTTCTGATGAATGGCTTGATTTTTCTTCTTGACATGTTTTGACTGCTCATTCTAACTGAAAAGAATATATATGGGAAAAAATGAACCTGAAATAAAAACACTCAAATTCGATTGCTTTGGCCTAGGTCATGTTTTTACTTTTCAGTCACTAAAATCATGGTGCAAAGGTATATCAGATGTGAGCCTGAAAATTTCAATCAGTGACCTCGTCTGCAGGCTGTTTAAAGCTGGACTTGAAGATTAGGACTTCCAAGCTCAGTCTCTCTGCTTAGAAGGATGACTGGAGGAAAAGAAGGAGACCAGCACAGCATAAGCAGCTGGACAACCCTATTCCAAATCCAGGGCCATTCTACTTAACTTTGCCCTTGATTAAACTCTCTCTCTTGAGTCCTCTGTGCATGAAATCCGAATGACTAGACATGGTCCTGGTAACCCAGGCAAAGAGAACCCAGCTTCATCTGGGCCTGATATTTCTCTGAAATACTTGAGGATCTCTGAGAAAGGTGAGAAGTAATTCAGTTTCTATAACAGGGACCAACTCTGAGACAGACTTTAGAGTGTAGTGCCTTAGGGATGAACACCTGTGGGAGGGAGGGAAGCAAGCAGGAAGGGGAAAGGGAAATGGTGAGCTGTGATACAAGCCCAATGACATGTACAGACCCCACAGGGAGCCCTCTCAAATAGGGTAGAAAGGGTCAGGCTTTTGTGTTCCTCATTTCTCAGTCACTGGAGGTGGGCTGTCTAGGAAGAGGTGTGACCTCAGGGGAGGCAGCCCTGTGCAATGGAGGCAATCCCTGGGTGCAAATGTCTGTCTATGGACAGCACTCCTAGCTAGCTACTGGGGCAACAAGATTTTCATCAAGCAAGGCCCAGGTAAGATATTGCTATGCCAACCAAAGGGACCATATAAGGTATAAAAGGTAGTGGTAAAATATTTTTAAAAAACAAAAAACTCAATTATTTAATTTTCTGAGGACTACTAGTGAAAGAGTGACTGAAGCGATGTCTTTTGGGTTTCAGGTTAAGGGTTGGGGTTCCAGGAAGGACTGGAGTTGTGAGATCAAGAACAGCTATATTGGGAATAGTTTAGGATAGCAGAAAACCAAAAGGATAGGGGCTATGACCAGATAGAAGCTGATTTTTATGGTTCATAGTGCCCTGCTGCTGTCCTTTGCTTCACTCAACACTATTAACCCAACCACCCATCATCTCCATATCTACACCCAGGCTTTCAAGCAAGAAGGAAAGAGAAGGAAATGTACATTGGTGTCTAGCTTTCTCTGTTCCCACCCTTTCCTCACAATGACTTTTCAAAATTTCATTACATTTTTGGTTGATAAACCTGCCTGCATCCCTAAAAACATATCCATGTATATATAAACATTAAAAATTACTTCATAAATGGAGCCATATGGGAATATTGTTTTCACCTTAATACCCAATTTTAGAAATCTTTCAATGAAACCTTTAAAAAGAGAGTACAGATTCTTGGGGACTGCCATAGCCCTGCTAAGTTAGAATCTCTGGGGATGGGACTAAGAGAGGGACCTGTATATTCTGAAGATCTGCAAGATTCTGGAAACTCTGCTTTAGGCAGCCCTTCCCCTTCCCGTGACTTGACTTCTATATTTTCTAACTCAGGCATATTTAAACACCAATTTTCTTGGTGTTTCTCTCTGGATGTCTTGTAGACACACTAAGTGCAGGATGACCATATTTCTGTAAAACATAAACACATCTAATTCTTTCTCAATCACCTGTCATATCTCCCCTGAATGACCAAAGAGACATAAAAGTAGAAAAAGCAATTGCATCACAGCAGGAAACAAAGAAAGGATGTCATTCACATGATAACATTTTTTAGAAGTAGAATCAAGCTATAGTTTACATGCGAGAAGATTGAAGGAAGTTATCAAAGGTCAGCTTGCAACCAATGTACCTAAGAAAAAGATCTTAGGAAATAATTGTAAGAGACCCTGAAGGATTTCCACTAACCCCTTCTCCTAATCTGAAGCTGAAATTGAGAAAAGGCGCAGGACAGATTGTAGTATCTTCCTTAGGACCTCTTTGTTGGATACTGAGAGTATTCAGAAACAGCTTCCCTGAGAAGATGCATGGTGTGTTTGGTAGGCACTCAAAGCAGACATGGGTGCCACAGTGGAGAATCTCATGGATGTCCATGGCAGCAGCACTAGAAAAGAAAAACAAACAAACAAAAAACCATTGTGCATCAATTCCATTACATAAGGCATGAAACAGGAAAAAATAATCTAAAAGAGAAAAGTCAAAAAAATTTCTATTTAAAAAGAGAGAAATTATACAATATCACAGAATTATGCAATACCACAGAGTAAAAGAAAAATGAAACCTACAAGAAACAAATAGAAAATATAAATGTGCTAATTTTTCTTATAAACAAAGACAAATTTAATTAACAAAATAAAACTATTCTATCTGCAAGTATATTCAAAATCAAATACTAAAAAGGCTAAGAGTTTACAACTGGAAGTAGAAAAAGAAGGTTAAAAGCAAAAGAATAAACAAAATATATACAAATATTCAAGAAAAAGAATAAAGATGGCAATAATAATTTTAAGGTTTAAGACTAGGAGAATTAGGAAGGACAGGAGATTATTATTTTATATTTATAAAATATATAAAACCACACAATATGACTATAATAATAATAATACAGCTTATGTAAACAAATAGCATGGTGTTGACATAAATAATACAAGAATTGTTGGAAACAAAAGGAGAATCACATAAACTCAATTTTCTTAGAAAATAACTTACCTATATCACTATCTTTGACAAATCAAGTATAGGAAGAATTCAAGCTACATTAAAAAATTAATTCAAGCTGGGCTCGGTGGCTCAGCCTGTAATCCCACGCCTTTGGGAAGCTGAGGTGAGTGGATTGCCTGAGCCCGCGGGTTCAAG